CAGGTTGAAAAGGGTTCAGGGGTTTAGGGGTTTGGGGTTTAGGGGCATAGGGGTTTGGGGTGGTCGCCAATCCGACACTTGCGCCAACAGCACAGCCAGGGCGCAGCAAGCCTTGCACACAATCTTCCGGGCTCAGCAGTTTTGTTTCCAGCCTTTAAAGGTTTGGGGGATCTTTAATTTAGGTGATTGGCTACTTCACTACGTTGGTTGGTATGTTTTCAAATTCTCAGTAGAGTTCCGCGCCCAACAATAAGTAGTGACTGACTCCAACGAGCCTCCAACTTGGTGTATAGGGCGGGGTGTTCCCTCCCGTATGATGAGACAAGCTGGAAGGCCGCAATCCCAGGATGTGGCAGTCTCCCAAGCAGTCCCTGCACAGCATTGCAGATCCTACCAACACTGGTATTTACAGCCACAAGCACTGCCCACAACATGTATTTTGAGCGTTTTGTTGGCGTTTTTAAGGCATTTAAAGCTGCTTTTGCCCTCGCTGAAGGTAAAATGGGGTCCCCATTGTGCTGATGATGTTCCGTGCGCGCTGCTGCTGCTGCTGCTGCTGCTGTTCTTGATGTTGTTGTTCTTGCTGCTGCTGCTGCTGTTGTTCTTGATATTGTTGTTCTTGTTGCTCGTGTGGTAATTCTTGGAGTCGCTCCCCGCCTGGTAACTTGCTCAGGTTGCTTGGCACCTGGGCCCTCTGTCCTAAGGCCTGGTCTTTTTTACTCATCCTTGTCCTTGGGGGTAGCCTTCCAGGGAGGGAGGCGCGGAAGCCAAGATATTCTGAAGGTTTCTAAATGGTTGAAGCATGAACGTTCCAGACCGGCCCTTCTTCTTACCTGCATCCTTGGGGATATCATGCCTTAGGATTTTCCCCCCCAAGAGGGAGAAGACTAAGCATCAGTGTGGGCAACCTTTGCTTAGGACAGCCCTACGCCTCATCCAACCTAACACGTAATGGGGAGCGGGTTTCCAAAATCCACCTGGGCAGTATTTTGGAAAACCGCTCCCCAGGCTGATGTTGGTGGATCTGCGCGGCGCTTGATCACTGCAGGAGCACATACATGTCGCCGTAAATACTGCAGGAGCACATGTCGCCGTAAACCGTGAAAACCCTAAATCCCTTAACCCTAAACCCTAAACCCCTTAACCCTAAACCCGAAACCCCTAAACCCTAAATCCCTAAACCCTTAAAACCTTAGGGTTTAGGCTAAACCCCTTAACCCTAAACCCCTAAACCCCAAATCCCTTAACCCTAACCCTAAACCCTAAACCCCTGGTTTAGTAAACCCCTAAACCCTTAAAACCTTAGGGTTTAGGCTGAACCCCTTAACCCTTAACCCTAACCCCTAAACCCCAAATCCCTTAACCCTAAACCCTAAACTCTCACTTCACCTTTTGAGATGATTTTAAAAAAGTTCTCTCCTTTCGGCTTTGGTCCCCCGGCCCATCACCGGGGTCAGGTCAAGGGCTCCGGCAAATCCAAACCCCAGCTCTCGGGCCTAAAACCCAAAGCCTCACCGTCTGCTTTCGTTGGGAGTAGCACAGCTTCCGCAGACCACGAGACCCGATTGGAGTGCTGCCAAGATGCCAGGTCCAGGCAGGCTTTTGGGGTTTTTGCGGGGCCATCCTGGGCTCAGGCCTCTGGGCTCTGAGATGCTCCCTGGAAACCCTTCGATATAGGGTTAGCCTAGTTTAAGGGTTCAGAGTTTAAGGGTTTAGGGTTTACGGGGTTGAGGTTGGGGCTTTGGCTAGGGTTTATAATAGAGGTTTTAAAGGTTTAAGGGGTTTGGTTTAAGAATTTCCCCTGGGCAGGTAAGAGGCGAGCTGCCATTGCGGATGGAGGAGAACCTCCCAAGCGTTGGTGCTGCGGTGATCAGCGCATGCCGACGGAGGATAATTCTTTGGACCAGTCCCAAGAGTTTAACAGTGGCTTCACGAAACAATTTGAGGCCATGATGTCCAAGGTCCTGGATATGTATGAAACCACCCAGGAGACCCCATCTCTTCCCATTTCTGAGGGTGGGACTGGCGCCGGCTTCGTCCAGAATGCTTGGGATGAAGTAAGGAACCGAGATGGCATGTACTCATTCACGGGGAGTCTCTTCTTGCAAGACCTCAGGTGGAGGCCCTTTCCTCTCACGCCTGTGAATGCGCAAGGTGTCCAGGAGCTCGTTTCGCAACTTTACGGTCAAGGACCCCCTGCTGTGCTATCCTTCGAGGTCACGCTTGTTTCCGGTGACCATGGTGACGACATCATGGCGGGAGCAGGTAGACTCAGGCGAGTTTCTCCTGAGGAGCCTGTGTGGGCTTTGCTCTTTGCCGCAAGTCAGGCAAACACCGAAGAGGAGAAGGCTCAGTACAGGAACCTCATGCTGAGCTGCCGCTTCAATCTGCTGCCCAAGACCAATGTCTCGGACATTCTCAAGGAAGCCATTTCAGTCCGGGAACGATTGATTGACAATTCTCGGGCCGTCAAGCGGTCCGCCCTGTCCATGCTAGTGCTCATCATCTCGCGCAAGAATGAACTGGAGACGGACAGTTGGAGTGATTTAAAAAATAGTTGTAGGTGTGCTTCTTGAGTGGAGTGTGGTAAGTTGTAGGCGTGCTTCTTGTGTTTTGCGGCCTGCAGGAAAAAGGCAAGATTGGGGCGGACAAGTTGCACAACTGGTTCAAAAGCTGCCATTGGGCAAAGGAGACGGAGGTACCGAGCAAGACTGTAGTGGAGGTAGCCATCACATTGTGGAAGAAGTTGACCTCGGTCCCAGGTTTGCTTCAAGTCGTGCGTGAGGCTGAACTTCTCTATGGTGCGGCGGACTCCCCCTTCCAGTCGATCTTGCAGATGAACGCCATGACTCTTGGCAGTCAGAAGCCAACGGGGCAAAGGTTGCTCTGGGTGTTCCAGTGCGTCCTGGATATGCGACGAGCAGGGGCCCTGAAGCTGGAAGATATCACCAAGAACAAGTTGAGCGATGCAGGTACCTACACGCCCTGTGACTTGTTTGCTTACAAGTACGGCGTTCTGCAGGAGCTCCTGGCCCCTGAGACCATGAATCTGTTCAAGACGGATTTTGTTGNNGGCATCTGCTAGATGTCGATGCCTTCCGGAAAGCTTTTGGGTACCGCAACAATGAGGAGGCCAAGTATGAAGGCACTCCTGCAGCAGCGATGTGGCGCAGCTCTCTGCAGAAGCACGAGGACGGATTGAGCAGCTGAAATTGTGTTGTTTTCTTTAAAGGTTTTTGAAGGCCCCACCCAGCACAGGCGGCATTCCTGGACTTTGTGGAGACCGCAATCTTCGATCGTCTACATGACACATCTTTGAGGCTGGGCCTTTTTTTCTTTCAGATGCATTCCATGTTTTGCGCAGCCCTGCAATCACAGGAATTGCGTGAAGATGGCGAAGCCTGCTGTGGATGCTTTGAAGCATGGTACCCTGGCTACTGGCCTTCAGGCAGTCCATGATGCCGCTCACCAGATCTTGCAAGAAGAGTTGCCCATGCAGATTGTCGTTGAGGACGATCCAGCGCAACAGCAGGCCGCTCCAGATGCAGCGCAGTCGGCAGAGGATGACCCCATGGCAGTCTTGGATGAGGAGTCCCGCGAGGCCATGGCGAGGTGGCAAGCTGCTGCGGCCTCGAGAATCCGAAGCTGCGTGGAGCTCATGGTGCGGCCCCCCAAGATATCCCAAGATGACATGATCGTGATGCTCCAGCAGTCCTCTGCCTTCATGCAGAAGCCTCCTGAGCACCATTTCAACTTGGTGGTCTACGATGGCAAAACTGAAGGGGAGTCCAAAACACAGCCGGCCATCCGCATGCCCGCCAACCGGCAGACCTACATGGCCGCATCGGTCGGTGCCGCCCTGAGAGCTGGTTGCACGGAGTACTTGGCCTCTGGCGTGCCGGATGAGGACCCTGAACCCTAAACCCTCAACCCTAAACCCCATAAACCCTAAATCCTAAACCCTAAACCTTAAATCCTAAACCCTGAACCCCAGGATGTTCTGGAGATTGATCCCGACAGAATCTTCCTCTTCTTCGATGCCTTCAAGCGCGATAACCATAGCGTTTTCGAGAAGATCTTCAACCTGCCGGATCGCAAGCTGCAGAGACATCGCCGGCTGTTGTACATATCGTATGAAGAGTCTACCTTCCTCCGACGGACCCGCGCCAGGGTGAGCAATTGGGTCGACATGGACATTGTGGAGCAGGCGGTCATCATCAGCCGCGACGCTTTGAAGTTGCAGCCTCGCCAGCGATTGAAGTACGAGAACAGCTCAAACCGTTTCAATCACATTGGGCCTGTGACATTGGAGGCAAGGGTCTGTAACAATATTTGCCCATCATACCCTCAAGGTTATGTCATAACACGTGACGATATTTGCCCATCATACCCTCAAACTTATGTTCTAAGACGTGACTATTATTTGTCCATCATACCCTCAAATTTGTGCCTAAAACATGACAATATTTGCCCATCATACCCTCAAATTTATGTCCTCAACGTGACTTATACTTCAAGCTCTGAACCCAGTTTTGTGCACTTGGCTGACAAATGCAGGACCCTGCGAAAGATTGGAATCTCACCTTGGCTGAGAAGAAGGAGCTGCTCGGGGACACTTTGCGAGAACAGGGAGGGAAGTCTGCCATGCAGGTGGACACAGAGGTGGTGCCCCAGAAACGTGCTGCCACGGACTTGGAGCCCGTGAGCTGGCACAGCAATTCCGTGGACTTTTGGAAAGAGATGCTACATGGATACCTTGCCTCTTCGGTCCTGGACCTGACTCCTCAGAACGACAACCTCGCAGTGGCCGCCATCCAGCTCAATGTCAAGTACATTGCTATCTGCAACACTCCTGCCCATGTTGAGATGTTGCAGAAGAGGCTCCAGGATCGCATCTTCGAGCTCCAACGTGATCCTACCTGCGAGAACTTGTACAATGCGGTGGCTGTCTCGGAGCTTGACTTCCTTGCGCAGGGAGATGAGGCGGTCCCAGCCACAAAGGGAAAGGGTGGGAAGGGCAAGGGCAAGAGGGGCAGCAAGTCAAAGGGAAAAGCAAAAACAGATGATGGACAGCCCTCCGAGGGAGGTGGCCAGGGCGCTGCAGGAGCTGGAGCCAAGGGGGGCAGAGCAGGCAAAAGTGCAGGAGGCGCGGGCGCCTCGGGCGCAGGCGCCACGGGTGGCAAGGGCACCACGGGTGGCAAGGACGCCACAGGTGGCACGGATGGGAAGGGTGGGAAGGGTCGCAAGGGTGGCAAGACGGCGTCATCATCAGCAGACTTGGCAGCGCTGCTGAAGCAGATCACTAGTGGTCAGGATGCTGGTGAAGAGTGCGAGGAAGACTGAGGGCCTCGTGATGTCCGCATCAGTGCGTTGAGGCTATTAAATTCAGATTTTGGTGACCGCTCTAGGTGCCCTCGAGTGCATAAATCTACTGAAGATCGTGAATGCAACTGGCCATAGAGCGGTCATTGCAACCACGTCAACACGCTGTGTAGCTCATTTTGACGGTACGGGCTAAGCTGGCCGATGAGTTATAGATTGAGTTATAGATTTTGGGCCCCAAGCATTCTCCATCTAAGTAGTAATCCAGACTCCAAATGGCAACAAGCAGGCCTTCCAGCGTAGCCATACCCTTGTCCGTGGAGCACACAAACTGAGACCTGGCCACGAGCTGACATGTGTGAGCTGGCCAAAATCTTAATTCTTCGGCCCTTGCTTTGTAGGCCTTTGGGACCATTCCATGTGCCTTGATGCAGCTGCCAAGGCAAAGCGTCCTCAAGTTTGCCGCGGGTCTCCTCGCTGCCAGCCGCCTCAGTTTGGAGTCTAAAGCTCTCCATGCACTGACTTTGAAATAATGATCAATTAAGAGTTCGCATCAGGGGTCAGAGAATTGAAGTGCCTTGCAAATTGTTGCTGTTGCTCGCTCATGCATCATTAGCGGCATTAGCGCCTCTAGGCTTAAAGCAGAGCCACACGATCCAGTGAGCCCATGTCTGGCAAGAAACGGCGCAACTTTGAATTGCCGCATGTTAC